AATCTTCTTGTTATCCCCCAACACCACTTTCCCTTAACCCATACTTACTAAACAAAACCAGCTATTAACTTCTATAAAAAGCCATGAAGAATATGCTAATTAAGCGAACAAAATATAGATTAATGAACCATATTTAAATCGAAGTCTTCACAGAAAGGCTAAAAGTTAAACTGTTGATTGAATATTAATTTAATTTGCCTGGCGCCAGCCGGATGATGCATAAAAAGGTGACTTAAGCTTTTTTCATATAAGCTTTATATATATATTTGACATATTTCAAGGCTTATTTGGTTAAAGCCTATGATTATCTCTAATCTTTCTATTATTTCGATTGCTTGGTACCTGCAGATACGAAACGGCTAATGGAATCAAGGCCGAGGAGACCGGAACCCTGAAGAAGGCCACATCTCCCGACACCAGTGACGTGATCATCGCCCGGGGATCGGTGTCCTACACCTCGCCCGAGGGCAACCTGATCACCCTGAACTATTCGGCCGATGATGAGAACGGTTTCCAGCCGCAGGGCGATCATCTGCCCACTCCCCCACCAATCCCACCAGCGATCCAGAAGGCTCTGGACTATCTGCTCAGCCTTCCCCCGGCAAAGCGTCGTTAAGGATGGAAGACCCCCTAGATGTTGACCAACGATTGTGACCGACCTCGATTCTAATGTGTAGATGCTGCGCTGTTGATTGCTGCAAATCCCCCAATCCCGATCCCTAGACAATCACACATAAGACACAAGCCAAGGGCTGGAGCCTTTTCCTCCTCCTCAATTCTTCTTTCACACAGGAGGTCAAAGGTCGGCCAAATCCACTGACTGAAGAACACAAACTCAAACGGATTTGAGGGACAAACACCACACTGAACAACACAACACGATGATACTGATAACCCAGTCTGCTTTCTTGCTTTCTTCCACGAACTCTCTTCTACGCGAATTTCTTCAGATCTTTTAGTCGCCGGAACTTTGCCATTTTCGGACTCATGTGATATCGTCGATTTATCAATGAAATCAACAAAGAAAATGTAAAAAAAATAACTAACAAACAAGAAATTACGTAAATAATAATATACAGGAATATTATCCACAGCAAACTTTGTGTAAATAGTCTGTAAATTAGAAACATTTACACGTAGTCTAAGCCCAGATGTCGATGAGGATTTTAATCTTCATTGTCTCGGATATTAGATAAACACTTGTGAAGAACTATGAAGATATTCTTTAGCCTTAGCTGCAAATAAAGAATTAAAGATTCTTTCGAAAAGTAAACAAATGAGGCTTTTTAATGTTTTGGGCAAGCCTTAAAAGGGGCAACAAATGACCTCTATTAATCCCTAATGGTCAAAGTCTCTATAGCTTATATCTGGTTTTAAAACAACTTGGCTTTTAAAGTATTCCACTCCCACTGACACCGATAATCTCTCGGATCGTATTTCCATCCGATGTTTTGAGCTTCTGTCGTGGCCGTAAATCTAAAATCTCAATTCCTCAAATAACCGTGATGACAAACGCTAAAACGAATTAATGAATGCACAAAACTTGTTGGCCAGATGCACACACTGAAGGTATAGTTTACATGGGAATTGTCTTAAAGACTATCCGTTTATTCATAGATTCTGTCCAAAAATAACAGCGTCTGTTTTTATTGTTCCATTCTGTTTTGTACTTCAAGGCAACATTTGATAGATTCATTTTATGCAAAGTGGCCAGACGCAGGCTGGCCAAAATGTGGTCACGTTGGTTCGAGATCACCGAGAACCAGAATAGGAGTGATGTTGATGACGAGTGCCCATAGAAGATGGCACAACATTATTATTATTTATTTATTTTAAAAACAATGTGGAGGCTGGCCAGATTCGAAGTTGTCTGCACCAAATTTCACACCCATTTTCGAAAGGCCAGCGACAAACGGAACACGACGAAACAAGTTCAATATTATTTATTGGTCACATTTTAATTTCATGTTAAACATTTTAGTACAGGAATTTTTAGATTGCTAATTTCGTTGCCTATATAAGAGTCTTTGTTTGCCGCTGGGGATCACCAGTCGTTTCGAGACCCCAGCTTGGATTGTATTAATTGATATCGATAGAGCGGTATATTGAGACCCCAAAATGAAATTTCTTATAGTGCTTGCCCTTTGTGTGGTTGCTGCTACGGCGACGGAAAATAATGATCCTATTTCCCAGGAATCCAATGTGGAATACAATGGCAAATACCATTATCAGTGAGTTTGTTGTCAGATTGAGTTACTTCAGGGACTAATCGGTACCTAATTATCCAGTTATGAGCTGAAAGATGGCTCCAAGGCCACTCAGGATGGTGTTCTGAAGTCTGTGAATGCCGAACACAATGGCGAAGCGGTCAATGGAAAGTACTCTTTCGTCGGCGACGATGGCCAGACCTATGTGGTGTCCTATACGGCCGATGAGAATGGATACCGCCCGGTGGGTGAACACCTGCCCACCCCACCACCCACTCCGGAGTCCGTCCTGAAGGCCCTGGAATACATCAGGCTGCATCCCTACACAATTCCCGAGAAGAAGCACTAAACATCCCGCAAGAACTGAGCCAAAATGTGATTGGAAACAAAAGAACTGAGACAAAGTTAAAATATATAGTCAAAGAAAACAAAACAAGAGTTTACGTAACCGGAAACAAAAGAGTTCAAATAGTAAACTTCACTGTTTTGTTTATTCAGGGCTGGAGCTCAGCTGAGATCCCCTCTTCGAAGAGCCACTGCAACATGTGTGCCAAAATGTGTGTTAAATTTGCCTTACTTAGCAGTTTTTGGCTCTGCTGGCCATCTCGCTAAACAATTACTAATTGAAAGCTAAATTGTTAAATAAGCAATTGAAGCCCAAGCAGAGTGGCAAAAGTCTCAAGGCCGAATCCGCAATCATTTTAAGTGAGATTGGGCAGCAGCCTTAGAACTCCGAGATCGTCTAAACAAAATCAATAGGAGTTATGTAAGCCAAACAGAAACTGAAAGTGTGATTTGGGTTTTGTTTTCTTCGTTTTAATTTACAATAATATGTTAATTTTTAAGGCAAACACAGGTAGAACCTTAGAGATTCAGGGAAGAGGTTGAAGAACATTTCTCTTACCCTGAAAATTAATCAGATATGTATCGGAGGTGATTTAGAATTTTTGTCGCTTGGCTCTTTTGTTTCTACCCGAACGAAGTTCATTGACCATTCCTTTCCCGAAAAAAGTCTAGGCTCTATGACACAATTGTGGTTAATATTCGCAGCATATAGCCAACATATGGGTATATGTAAGTTCGCAGTGTTATCAATTCGATTTATGGCCAGCAATACTCTAAATTTTTTATGGCTCTTTTGTCTTCAATGAATACCGTTAGCTTCTCGACCAGCAAAAATATTTCCCTAATTGAAACGTGATCGGTGTGCTAAAACTGCGAATCGTTATGACTTATGGAAATATTTGAAAAGTTCTGGCTGGCACAACTAGCACTCCCTCAACTCAAATCCTTAACGGAATCCCCAGGAACTGGCTGGAGTCAACGGAACTAACTGGTGAGCCGACTCCCAGAAGAATTATATTCTGCTCAGACAAATCACGTAGCCTGTCAAGATCCGCGATATGTGACGAGGGGTGGAGGGCTGAAGACTGTCACCTGCTGACATCGTCGTCGCTCCATCTTCATCTCCATCTCTTTTGGCGGTGCGATCTGATGTTTACTCATCGCGGGGCAATAAAACCGAAACCGAAATCCGAAATCCGATGAAAAAAACCCCGGTCAGAAAGCAGAAGAAGAAGCATCAGCGCCCGCTCGTAATTTCTGCGAGTACTTCGAAGCTTATCTAGTGCGCCCATCGTAATGGCAATCGTAAGCAGCCGAAGTCATGGAGCCAAAGTATAAAAAGCCCGGCTCTCGTTTGGGCAGTCAACAGTCGCTCGCCGGATACCGCCCACACTTAAGACTCAGTTTAAAAAGGATAGGATATACCCCTCCAACACCTCCAACATGTACAAGTTCGTCTTTCTCGTCTGCTCCGCCATGCTGCTCAGCTATGTCCTGGCCAGACCCCAGGATCAGCGGGCAGGAGCTGCCACGCCCACATCGGCGACCACAGCTGCCACCATTGTCAAGCAGGATAATGTGAATAATGCCGACGGCAGCTTCAACAGCAGGTGAGTTATCAAAAGGTTTTCGACTTAGAAACAGGATAGTTATAGCTCTGATATTATAGCTACGAGACCTCCAACGGAATACGCGTGGAGAACATTGGCTACCTGAAGAAGATCATTGTGCCCAAGACGGAGACCTCCGATGGCCAGGTGATCGATGAGCACGAGGAGTTGGTTCTCGTCCAGACCGGATCCTACAGCTACAGCGATCCCGATGGCAACCTCATCACCCTGCGCTACGTGGCCGATGAGAATGGATTCCAGCCGGAGGGAGACCATCTGCCCGTGGGCCCGCAATAGTTTTATATAAGTACATAGATCCCATACTCCTTATAATATTTCGCTTGAAAGTATTATGCACTGCCTGAATGCCATACGAAATTGAAATGTTAGTCTTAAGCAAATACACACACATACCGAAAGAGAGAAATAAATATTGGAAACGATAATGAAAACGACAACCGAAGTGAAGTTACTTCTCAGCCTCGCGTGGCCTATAACATTACATTACCAAATTGCCCTTCACGCAATGTGGTTAACACTGATGATCGCAAAGTGGCGGTGAGATGGGATGGTGATGCTGGTGGTCATGAGCCAACTGCCGGATTTATTTACACTGATGGCTCACTGATGGTAAGAGCCCCCGGCTCCAAATGACATTGATGCTGATATGATATAGGGCTCGGAATTGGGTATCATGTGTGTTTGCCCAACTCAATGGGGAAGGCCCAGAATACGTTTAATTGCTCTATAATGCGCATGATTAAACTGCCATTAGGTGTGGATTATGACTTTTCATCAGTGGCTAATGTGGGATCAGTTGATCAACCATTGGGACACCGGAATGTTGCCATTTCTCTGGTGCTTCGGCATTATAATAAGCAGTCTGCTGCAAATACATCCTGCAGATTCAGCAAAGTTGATTCCAGTGAGTAGTCAACTATTCATCCACAATATTATCTGGAAATATAATATTTCTCTTTTACAGAACATAGGCTATTATGTGGAAATGAAGCAAATGGACTGTGTGGGTAATCCCGACTATTTTGCCAACCTCTTCTGCAGAATCCTGCCTCCTAACAACAGGACCATGGAGGCCTCTGTGAATATTATGCAGAAGTTGTCCGTCTTTAGTGGTTCGCTTAGGGTATCGATTCCCAATGCCAAAAAGGTCATAACCCAAATATTTAACATCACCTTCGATGTGTGTAAAGTTTTGCGCGAACGCAAGCGGAAGGTGCTCATCGATCTATTGGTCAACACTTTGGCCAGGAACAGTAACGCAAGGGATTGGAGATGTCCATTTCCAAAGGTTAATACCTAGATAACAAGAAAATCATAGATTAAGTACTGTTTTGATTTTATTTCAGGGTAAATTCGAGTCCAAAAACATTTCGGTTACCGATTTGCCGCCCATGTTAACCGAATCCGAGTTTTTTGTCAGCTTGGACTTCTTTATACCCAAGGTGGCCATTGCGATGAATGTCACTCTGCATGGACATCTTTTCGAAATTGCTAAAGAAAAAGCTAGAAGGAAGAAATATTTGTAAAGCTGTTATTTTAAACATTTCTCAAATAAATATATAGAACTTATGTTAGTTTTTTTTTTCGATTTTTATCGGTTTTGTTATGATAAACTTTAAGTCACAGCATTTAGAAAAACGAGAGTTTTCTGCAAATGGATTCTACGTACCAATTCTACACCTTTGATACACAACTTGGCCTTAAATTCACTGCATACTTTGAGGCACTAACTCTTTAATAAATAATTGCGAATGGAAAATCACAGGCTATAATCTAAACCAGTGGTGTGGACGCAATACTATGATTGAAGCCAATAATATTGTACATTGAAATGTTATCATAGTATGGCTCTCTTCCACTTAACTAAGTTTTTACGCCCGATTGACAATTAAAATGATGGCAATCAACAATTATGTTTCGGATTAGTAATTACTTCAATTTCGATAGAGTTTCAACCAGAGAACAAGCAACAATTTAGTTTTGTACCGTCTGGTCGACAGTAATGTTCTACATATGGATGACCATACGGATCATTTTGTTACTCGTCCACCTGATCCATTATACCGAAGCCAGGGTAATATATTAGTTATAAATTAAATATTTATATAACAAACCAAACAAATTTCCAGAGACGTATACGATGGGATTGTTTTGACTGTCAGATGGAGCCTCAGTATGCTGATCAGATTAAGTGCCAGGTTGGAGGCATCAGACGCTCCCTTTTAAATGTGGAGCTAAAATTGCTTACGGAAATTGACCAAATTAAGACTTATGTCAAAATATCGACTAAATCTAAGCCAAGTGATAATTATCGAAAGTTCTTTGATATTACTTTTGATGGGTGCAAAGTAATATCCGACATGACTCAAGGAACCATGGTATCGAAGATGTATAATGCAGTCATCAAATCGAGCAATCAACCCCGAAAGTGTCCCGTAAAAGAGGTTAACTTATCGCTATTTTATACCTTACTTTATAAAAGAATATTAACGTTACAGGGCTTAGTCTACTATCATGACATAAGTATCGAAGAGGTCTTACCTATGTTTGTGCCCACCACCCAGCTGTTTATCCAAGTGGACTTCTTCTCTCGGCGGCAGTCGTACTTGAACATAAGCTTGAAAGGGGAAATTACTGCAAAATAATATTTAAATATATATATATCGATTCAAACTATATTCATTTTAATGGTTAATAGACCACTTTAACGATATGACCGCATTTAGCGCCCATAAACGAAGACATTAACGCTTGAATTTAGAACTTCGCGTTCGATTCGTTTATAAACCCACTTAAAATGCAATCACGAAAAATATCAATTATTGGGGTATAATTATGAGAATCATTATCCGCGACTATTTTCACTTATAGCTCGTGCCTAGGCTTTCGAGCCAGACAGTAGTGATTGTTTAGAGCTGCAATAAGAACATCATGGCTCAATTTCGATTGATATTTTTGCTGATTTTATTGGTTAGCCAAAGCGAATCGGCCAAGGTTTGCTTTTACGTATAAACCGTACAGATTAAGACTCCTAATTAAATCTTGTATAGACTTTTACCAAGGCACGCCTACAACTGATGTGGAAAACTTTCGACTGTTCTGCGAACCCAAGCTACATTTCCCAACACAGGTGTATCATTTTAGAGCCCGGAAAATCTTTGATCACATCTGAACTGAACTACATAAAGGATGTTATCAAATTCAATGCCACCTTTAAGCTTTTTATGCCTCGAAGGCCCTCCCGACCTTTTCAAAAAGTAATCGATGTGAATGTGGACATATGTCAGTTTGCCAAGGGAATTCACGGCCACAGATTCATGACAATCGTGGTGAAAGCCTTTGGAAAGCAGGGATCTCAGTTAAAGTGTCCCCATCCCAAGGTAAATACTCGTAGTATCGCGAAACCATTTTGATATATCTTTTTCAGGGTCTTTACTTATACCCCAACATAAACATTGCCGAAAATCTGCCAGCTTTCTTGCCGGAGACCGATTTTAAAATCGAAATGAACTTTATAACCACCGATGCGCATCTCTTCAATACCAGCCTTACTGGATTCTTGTTCGATCCGATAAAAAAGAAGTCAAAGACTATTTAATGGTCGAAAGTGAAATAAAATGTGTGTATTAAAAGCGGCTACCAGATGGCTTCCAAGGATTAAATCGAGATAAACCGAGTCGCAAAGGCAATTTGGAGCGATTTAGAATTAATCAAGTGCTTTATGGCCGGGCCACTTGTCACCCCAGCGGTACGTGATCTTTATGTCAAGTTCCGTTGACGATTGCCTCAAAATCGCCACTGGAGCATTATTTACGAGTCAAGCTCAAGATTGGCCGCATCGACAAGGCATTTCATTTCACAACCGACACGGCAGCAGCCTGAATATTTATGGCCAGCAGCGGGGTTCTGTTGGCCAAGTTGGCTCTCAGCCGAGCGAACGGAACCAAAATGTCAAATGTTGTTCATAAGAACGGCAAACGGCAGCAGATCTCGACAAATGCTAAGAATGTAAGGGTGAAATCGTTTGACATTTGCAGATGCTGCAATTTCCCTGTGCTAAGCAGTCAGTGGGTGAGTGGGGCAAAGTTGGAAGTGGGATGGATGGTGGTTTGGCGGCTTAGTATCGTATCTCAGTGGTGTTGCACTCGAAAGCTAACCTTGCCCAGCTTTCGTTTTTTATTTTTCTTATTTTCGCCTGTGCGTGGAACTGCATCTCAAAAAGTTGCACAACCTGCAATGAATCACCAGCAACAGCAGCAACATCAACGGGCACAGCAGCAACACCAGCAGACACGGCAGCAACATTGGCAATCTGGAGGCTTGGCGGGCGTTTGACTTGGAGTTGTGGGTGCGGAAGGCGAAGACGTGGCCAAAACATGATGGCCCAGAGGGGGAGAGGTCGTTTGTCGCAATAGGCGTTGGAGTTTGGCAGCATTTCGGGCTTTTTTCGCCGGCTCTTCGGCGGTTGTTCAACTCTTGCAACTTGCAAGCCTCCTCTCTGATTGAATTTGTCTTTTTCATTTACAGCGACTGATTTGTCGGCTTGTTCTCTCTCTCTTTGGCCCAAAACGCCTTGTAGATTAACCCAATTGTTTGGCAACTAATTAACATTTGCCAAGACACGGGTCCGCTTTGAACTCAATTATCGTCTTGCCTCATCTGCCAAGCATTTTAGCTGTTACAACAATTCGCGCTTCGCTGGTGTTAGTATTGGATCCGCCAAACTGCCGCATTTACAAGAATGCGAATCCGAGTGCGAATCAGAAAATGAATCCGAAACCGAAGCTGCGAGGGAGCAGCATCTTGAATGCACTTCTGCCGAGTTAAAGAGAGGGAGAGAGAGCCAAAACAATCCGAGCCGACTGGCGCTTTTGGCCAAGTCAACAACGAAAGCAAAAAATCAAACTCGTTCTGGCTTGTTTCTAAATAACGGCATTGCGAAGATGAACGACCGGACGCGCTGGCGGAGGACGGACATTTTGCAGACATTTGAGCCGGGCCTACGAGCGGGCCAAATACGAACTGCGACAATAAGCCGGGCTAAGGTGGGTGCCACAGACGGAGGGTCTTAAGAATAGCCGAGAAGTTTCTCGTACTCTAAAACTCATGTTTAAACTTATTTTGTTCACAGCTAATAATAGTAGGTCGGACTTAAGCCAATGAGCTCCAAATAAAAAATGTACTTTAAAATCAAAAGACTTAGGAAACGAACTTTAGCTAGGAAGGTCCTTTTCAAAAATGTACTTCAAAATCAAAAGACTTAAGAAACGAACTTGAATAAAAAATGTTACAAGTGTAATTTATTTATTAAAAAAAATCATAAAACAAATATTGTCATAATTTAAAAAATTTATATATTTACTTATTTATTTTGAATAGCTATATGTTGCAGTTCTAAGGAATTAATTCAACAATATATAATATAATATTTAAGTTAAAAGCACGGTAAATAGTAGATCATACAAAGTAAACGATTAAATCCACAAAGAAAAATAGTTCTTGTCTAATTCTAGTCGTAAGTTATATATTTTTATTCCACTAATAAAAATAATATCTTATTAGTACTTAAATAAGAAAGGTAAAAAGCATAGTATCGATAAACTTTAGCTTATAAAGAGGAGGTGCTAAAGTCTATCCTACTAACTTTTCTAATTGATTTTATCACAACATATCTCCCATCGACTAAGCCTCTGGAACAGCCTCAAACGAGAGCGACAGTGAATTGATTTTTTTCTATTTTAGCATTTAAGCTTCGACGAGCCTACAAACAACAATTACCGATCGGTCGGATCAGACAACTACAACAAAAACAAGAGCTACTATGGCGAATTCCACTTCCACTTCCAACCCCATCCCCATCCCCATCTTCACCTGCATCTGCATCTCCAACTCCATCTGCATCCGAAACTGAAACAGAAACTGCAAATGCACGCTCTCCCATGGCGGCTCACCTGTGTGGGTATTGGTATATGGGTATGGGTATAACTATGGACACGAGTGCAGCAGGAGGATTGGATCGGATCGGGTCGGAGCGAATCGCCTATATAAGGCCTAAATAGGGCCGCGCTTGGCACAGTGTCTAACGGAGCTGCTTTCACTAGCCAGTGCGATCAGTGCCAGCCAAACGGGCGACAAAGCGGGACAAATCAGTGGAATACAGTAGATAAGCAGCAGAGACTCCTTGCGAAATGAAAGTGCTCGTAAGTGGCCCACACACTTAATCTTTCCAAACTATCGGAGCTTGTAGTTTTTGTGAAGTGCATTCAATAGAATTAATGGCAAGCATGAATCTGAAAAAACCTTTCTGGAAAGTAGTGCAACACCTCGGCTTCCTCATGAATGTATTGAAAATAATATTTTTTAACGCGTTAAAAGGATATTGAGGATATTATTTCACTTTAACTTTTGTTAAACATTAAGCTTGTGATTTATTTAGTTGTGACTCATTTGTTTATATAGTTCTGTAGTTTAGAAAATTAAATACAAATTATGAGATTTTTTCTTGAGATCCTTTTAAAAATCAATTTGTATATAATAACATATTTTTATAAATAGATTGTTTTGTTAATATAATTTATAACAAAATTTGTTAAAAGTCTTTCTGTTAAAAAATAGGTTTGTATGTGGGAAAAATATTTTTTTTGGCATCTAGTTTTTAAATGTTTTTAAAGAGCCCGGGAAACCCTTTTTCAAGAGTACCAATATATTTTATTGGCATTAGCTTCAGATATTGATCCTTGTGCTTGTAAGCTAAATCTGCAACGACTATTTGCAGATACTTCTTGTGCTGTTGGTCGTTTCCTGCCAGGGACAACACCACCATCAGCACCAGCATCAGAATGTGAACAACATTCCGCGCGATGACAAACCAGATCATCATCGCCACGAAGATCACCGAGAGACCAGCACCTGGATACCCATAATCAAGTACAACAAGGAGCAGAGTGAGGATGGCAGCTACAAGACGGAATACGAGACGGGCAACAGCATCATTCATGAGGAGACGGGCTTCCTCAAGGACTTTGATACGAACCCAAACGGAGTGTTGGTCCAGCATGGCCAGTACTCTTACCAATCGCCCGAGGGAACTCTGGTGAATGTTCAGTACACGGCCGATGAGAATGGATTCAGGGCAACGGGTGATCACATTCCCACACCGCCGGCCATTCCCGAAGAGATCCAGAAGGGACTGGACCAGATCTATGCCGGCATCAAGTTGCAGCAGGAGCGCCTGGAGCAGCGGGCCAAGACGGATCCGGACTTTGCCAGGAAACTGGAGGAGCGACGGGTGGCCAACCAGAATGGCCAGTACATCGGCCTGCTGGAGAACCAATAGACGAGTTCCGCCCATCCATTCATCCATCCCATTCCCCCACCGAACCGATGATCCTGGAAACGTGACTACTTCGCATTCTATATCAACAATTACAACAACAAGACTGTGATTTCACTCTGCAAGTTCTTCAAAAACGCTCTACCATTCTGATTGATAAACTTTTAATTACACTTAAATTTCCAACTAAGTTCCATATACACACACACACTCACAGATACTTATAAACAGGGGCGCTCGCTCAATCAAAATAATAATATTTTATTAACGAGTGTGAAAGTTTCTTTGCTGTGAAACAATAAAAGAAAAACT